AAAACGTAGCTGTCCCATATTGCATTTGCACTTGTCGAATTGTGCAACAAACTCAACTATATAGCTAGCTATATTCTGATAGATATATAAGTAGATAAGTGAAAACTGATATCTAGCTAGCTAGTTAGATATGGACATTTTGACACAGATAGGGAGATAAAACTTTCAGATCGAAAAAATTCAGATAGATAGATGATATGGTCAATTTGGCTTAGATAGATAGATAAAATATTTGTTATATATATATATATATATATATATATATATATATATATACATACATGTATACATGCATATATATATATATATATATATATATATATATATATATATATATATATATATATACACACATAGATAGATAGATGCTGTCTGAACTTATTAAGCAAATCATATACACTTTAATGATTCAAATTTTGTTCGAAAAATTGTTAAATTTTAAATAATCAATTTAAATCCAAGCCAGGGTTAAATTTTTAGGTAGTATCAATATGTTTTATTGAAGTAATTTGGTGTATTTAAAAAAAAATGGCGACTGAAGTTTTAAACCAAAACCAAATAATCAGATTTTACTTCAATAGATATGTAATAAAATCATCAAAAATTGATCAACACATCTAGTAGAACAAATACCAAACACATATGATAAAGTCTTTGAATCCTTTACATTTTATTATAGTGACTCTTTAGTTTACGTTCATCTCCAGGAAACAAGTTCTTAAAGCCTTTTCCTTTGCTTCGAGTTCTCAACTTACTTAAATTTTCAACAGCTTTCTTCATCATTCTATGATCTCTGTAAAGCTTCTTTGATATCTCCAATGTGCACATTCCCTTACACAATAACTTTGTTATTTTCTGTCTTTCGGCAGTTGCTAGATTCTTCCCTTTACCTATGTTTCAACATATATCATGGAGAAAAGAAAAATAGTATTTAATAGAGTTCAGATACCTTAAGGTATTGTTAATTTACTATGCATACTAACTTCAGTCTGTCGAAACATCTCAAAAACTAACTATTAAAAATAGCAGATAATATAGTTAAATATTTTACATAGATTTAAATTTGACAAACATTGGTTTATAATTTTTCTAGTGATTGGGATGGATTTTATTTACATAATAACTTCAGACAACTATATATATATATATATATATATATATATATATATATATATATATATATGATAGCTGGCCACTCGCATTCAGTTATACCTGTTTATCATGGCGGCTAGCCATTCCATATTGCAGACGCTAGCTCAAGCAAATTTGTGTTTGTTCAGCCCAAACAGAGCGAAACTGTGGTTTATAATGCAATTATGCTGAGCATACCTTAGTTACAGGGATAAAGAACGTTATCTAGCATGATCCACATTCTGAACAACGCCAGCACAGTAAAATCTTTGATCACGGTGACTTGTGACTAACACAGCTATCGACGTCTGCCAAGGCTTCCGTCAATTTACTCACTTGGTAAAACCCTGCTATGATTTTCACCTTTGCAAAGGTCGTGGGGTCGTCCAGAACGATTAAGTATCCTTTCTGACAAATCAACGTGGTGAGATTCAAACCGGGTCTGACGTTCAGAAAGCGAACGTTCTAACCACTCGCTTATATATATATATATATATATATATATATATATATATATATATATATATGTGTGTGTGTGTGTGTGTGTGGCTGAGTGGCACACGCACAAACACACATATATATGTGTGTGTGTGTGGCTGAGTGGTTGAACGTACACACACACACACACACACACACACACATATATATATGTCGATCTGTATGGGGTATTTTGTTTCGGTTTCACTGATTGTTATTCTCTCTCTCTCTCTCTCTCTCACACACACACTCAAAGACACACACATACGTGTATGTATGTGTGTGTCTGTCAGTTAACTCACTACTACACGTTAAACGATTAAGACAGATTATCCACAAATGTACACGAATGGCAAATATAACCTAGTCCTAATGGCAACACAGCGTCATTTACCGTAATCTTTCTTTAAACTAAATAAATCAGAAACGAATTATTTGCAGACATATGTTTATATGAACTTTTGTCTTTGTTTTGGTGTGAAGGACACGCACCCAAATTTTGTTTAAACTATTTTTTGATGCACACTATATATATATATATATATATATATATATATATATATGATAAAAATACGATAGTAATAGGAAGAAAGTTTGAGATCAACAGAGAACACTACAGAGAACACTACTTAAAATGAGAGAAAGAGAGAGAGAGAGAGAGAGAGAGATGGAAAGAATAAATGCAAGAAGCTGGGACAGAAAATAGACATAAAACGAGTAAAATAGGAATAATTGCGAAAAATATGAAAAAAATAACGAGAGCTGAATGTAAGCGGGAAAATGAGAGAAGCAGATAAAGAAAAAGGGGGAGAAAAGAAAGGATTTTTTTTTTTTACCAGAACGAGATAATGCAGCGATATAAAGTGATAGCCATGGCATATTAGGAAAAGTGAGAGTTCAATAAAGAGAATTGATTAAAATGAGAAAGAGCCAGAAAGACCAGTTGAATAAGGGGAAGAAAATGCGAGTGATAGAAAAAAGTGTGTAAAAACTGGTTAAAAAGAAATCATCGCGTAAATAGACAAAAAAAACAATAACGAGATAAATAGGTAGATACATAGACAGCGAGAGAAAGAGAGAGGGAGAGAGAGAGAGAGAGAGTGGCGTTAAATGTATTGCCTGGAGAAAAGAATTGTTAAATGATGCACAATGAAGCGTAGCGCAACATATCTGCAAGTGGTTCTGATAGACCTGTTTTCGAGTCACCCGCCCCTCCCCAACCCCCGAAGCAACACAACGGAAGTTGGTTAGCGCATACATTATCATCCTGCTGATTACCCGAGGCAAAAACCAATGGACACGACATCGTCATGTGTGTAGATAATGGGCCGAGAATAAGAGACACATAATATCTATTGCAGCTACAAGTCTCCTGGGACAATGGGGGAGAGAAATAATAGAAAAATAAACGCATGTACCCACATGCAGAGAGAGAGAGAGAGAGAGAGAGAGAGAGAGAGAGAGAGAGAGAGAGGAGAGAAATGCAGGGAGAGAGAAAGTGTGTGTGTGTAAGCGAGATGGATATGTAAGTATTTATAAAGCTTAGTGGGTCACGGCGTGAGGTTCTTACTAACTATCAGTTTTGTACCCTGCAATAAATTCTGATTATAACTGACAATATGGTAGACAATCAAAATATTACTGTGAACTTTCAGATGCCTGAATAATAATAATAATAATAATAATAATAATAATGATAATAATAATAATAATAATAATGGGAAGAAGAAGAAGAAGAAGAAGAAGAAGAAGAAGAAGAAGAAGAAGAAGAAGAAGAAGAAGAGGAACAACAACTTCGTGATAGCGGTGCAGGCGAAAATACAGAGCTAGGAAGACTTCGCAGCTCAAGTTGTCCCTTTGTGCTTAGCGCATTGGTGACTATTTTCTGGAATCTTGCTACCTCAGAGGACGTTTTGGGAATACAGGAAATCATTGCGAGTGAGCAGGTGACATCGCTGCTTATAACAGCTCATGTTCTGAGGAGAGTGTTATATTTCTAAACTGCGTGTAGAAGCTTAAATGAAGATCATCGATCGAACAAAATATCGAAGATCGGGGAGGCCTTTAAATTAAAATGAAATAATAATAATAATAATAATAATAATAATAATAATAATAATAAACAAAATAGTGCCTCCTTGTTGATATGGCAGTCTCTACAGCCTGCAATGCATCTTTGAAGATATTCAAAAAGCTGTCAAAATATAAAGACCTTGAAATCGAAATCTCAAAAATGTGGCACATGAGAACATCAACAATCTCTGTTGTAGTTGGAGCCCTCGGATTGTTTGGAAAAGATTCCAATAGACTAATTGAAGGGATTCCTGGAAGTTCAGACCCCAAAGAAATGCAAAAAAAATTGTTCTGACAAGTACATCCCACACTTTACGAAGGGCTTTATTTATGCAATTTTTTTTTTTGTCAGTGGAAAGTGTCATGATGCCATTTCTAAGCTTAGGTCTCTGGCCGGGACCCGGAAAGAAATGTGTAAACGCCAGAAATCAAAGGAAGTAATAATAATAATAATAATAACAACAACAACAAAAATTTAAATAAACATATCAGTGACTGAAGACGGTAGTCTAAAAACAGGGACATACTTACATGGAATAACTATACGCGACAGTTGGAGAATATTTCCAAGCAAGCATAATAAAGAATGGTAAAGACATAATGCGTAGTTTATGAGAACATTATGAAGCATTTAATTTCTTGTTGTCCTTTCTTGACATCAAATGAATACAGAGGTCTCCATGATAAGATATGGGAGAATATTTAGCGGAAGATACGTCAATATTACCATGACAAACATTATGAAAAAAAATGATATAACATCATCGTGATCTTGCCATTTTGTACTTTATCATTCATCTTGATCTTTTTTATTTATTAAAGACGCCACACTTAAACGCCGCGAGCTGATAGATATGTCAGTACTATACTTTGAAATGAAGGCGGAAAGCATAGATTGTGCCACTAGATGACTGAACGTTTCCTCTTTCATAGAGTTTGAATTCCTCACTCCCAGACAGCTTAATTAGTAAAAGTCATAATTCACGATTAGCACCCCACACACGTTCAAGCCAAAAATATTTGAGCAGTGATAGATAAGATTGTCGCCTCCAGGTGCTTTGATCTGTCCTGTGCAATTAACTGTCCTTTTTTCACTTCCATCTCATTTAATTAGCAAAGTCGTACATAGCTACATCAGGGGAAGAGGGCTGGGACAAGAAGCATTCAGAACATACCAATGACAAACATGTGACTGACTACAGTCTTAATAGTCTTCCAGATGAGATTGATGAGGGGCCTCAATGGCGATGCGGCATTTTATATATTTATCAATCTTCAACTGATACAAGGCCAGATACACTTGAGCACAAATCAGGTTTGCACTTAACACTAGTTTTGTCGATCATGAAGCAACATAAGTTTGGGGACACATTGAGCTCATTACTATAAAGAAATGATTTCTGAAGAAAGATCTCGCTGGCGTGGGCGCAGTAAAATTTTACTCACCTTAGACGATTTCGATTATAACATAAAAACCGTTAGTGATCATCGAATCTTCTAGATTATTGACCCCACCCCCTGTTGGAAACAAGTTTTAACCATCATGATATAAGAAAGTTACAATTATTTTTTTGATTCTGGTGTTATTTCAAATATTCATGCACACATGTACACGCACACACAGAGACATAAGGCCGATAGGGTGACCTAGAAATGATTTTTTTTTCTTTAAGGTCTGAACAAGTTAAAATACAGGGTAAGGGAAGGGAGTGATCAGATTTAAAATAGATACGTTGAATTGTCTGATATTCATGTCATATTCGACAGCGAAACAATCATCATCGCATTATAATCATCAGTTTTCTCATTCTCTCAATCCCGGTAACCCCTTACGTCTTCGTGGCATTCCCTTCTTTGGAGGGAAGTGATTAAGAAAAATATTGTCCACCCACACTCCACACACACGCACGCGAAAGCATACACACCCACGCACACACACACGCACACGCATATATATGTATATATATATAAATCATATAGACGTTTTTCTTAACTGTAAGTATGATTATATAAGTTTATATCCATCTATGTATATATATAGGCATATATATATATATATATATATATATATATATATATATATTTCACACACACACACACACACACACACACACACACACACACACACACACACACATATATATATATAGACTTCTGTTGTAATTGTAAATACGATTACACACGTTTATATAAATATATAGGGATACACATAATACAAACAAATATATATAGGGATACACATAATACAAACAAGCACACACACACACACACACACACATATATATATATATAGATAGATATATATATATGAGATTCTATATCTTTATATAACTTACATTATCTATATGTATATAAATATGCAATACTAATATATATTTAATTCACTATATTTCTAGATATTTATATTACTGATAAATATACATTTCTTCCTCAACCTTTGATACAATACTGATTTTTTCACTATGTGATATATATATATATATATATATTCTTTTCAAACCTATCTTGTTCGTAAACATGTCTCAAGTACCCTACAATTGTCTAAAGTTGTCTATATATATATATATATATATATATATATATATATATATATATACATGCACATGAGTACATAGTATTTGGTTCATTTGCTAGTATCCGACAAATTTCATGTCATTTTCTTCTCCAACTTTTTTTTTTTATTTTTCACCAAATTTCTTGCCCCCACCCACGCATATCAATGTTTTCGACTTCGTTGCTAGCGTATTCACGTGTTTTCTCTCTCTCTCTCTCTCTCTCTCTCTCTCTCTCTATATATATATATATATATATATATATATATATATGTGTGTGTGTATGTGTGTGTGCGTGTGCTCTAGGATTATTTTATGTTTGTAATTTTTTGCTGACATTTTTCATCTTCTTATTTATTGGTTTGTTTTGCTTAATATTGTTGGATCCTAATTTTAACAAGACATCATTTTATTGCATTAGCTCACCATTTATTACTTTCAATATAAAATTTGTTTTAAATGCTTTTTATAGTGTGTCGATATTTTGTTTTTATTGCAAATGAAAATACAAATATGCCAAGATGGATTCGGTAGGCTGAAATTGCGAAAGAGGAGGAAACTTAATTTGTTTTAGAGAAGAAAATTATAGAAAACTTGAAAATATAAAGCAGTGAAGCAATAAGGAAAACAATAAGGGAAATTTTAAAAAAAAAGTTACGATGAAGAAATAGAAATAGTAATGAGAATGAAGAAAGAAAATGAAAAAAATATTAAAATAAAACGTCCAGAAAAAGAAAAAAAATATTTAAAAAAGTACGAATGAATAAAAAAAAGAAAGAGAGAAAGTAAGATTGGAATAAAGAATAAAAAGAAGAAATAAAAAGGAAGAAAGAAAGAAAGGAAGAAAGAAAGAAAGGAAGAAAGAAAGGTGAGACAATATAAACGAGGAATAAATAAAGAAAAGGAAAAAGGAGAACATGAAAAATACATGGGAGCGAAAGAAGTAGAAGAATAATAATAAGAAGATGGATAAAAAAATGTGAAGATTCAGAAGCTAAAAAGAACAGAAGAGAGAAGTGTCTGACATCAAAAACAGAAACGTACAAAGAAAGCAAAGAAAGAAAGTTGGGAGGAAGAAGTTTTAAGAATGAAAGAAAGAACGAACGAACGAACGAACGAAAGAAAGAAAGAACGAAATTTTCAGAAAAAAGAAATAAAGGAAAAAAATCGAAGATGTGAGAAAATCGAAAGAAAAATCAAAGGAGAAAGAGAAAAATAAAAGAATAGGAAACAAAAAGAACGGAATAAAGGCGTAAATGTAAAAAAGAAATAAAAGGCAGAAGGAAGGAAAAGAAGGAATGAACATCAAAAGAAGGAAGGAAGGAAGGAAGGAAGGAAGGAAGAGTCCATAAAAAAACAAAGAAAGAACGAAAGAAGTGTTTCTGCAAACGTGAAAGAAATAGGGAAAGGTAAAAGAAGCAAATGAAAAGTGAAAGAATAACCAGGAATGCAGTGGAAGTTCAAATAATGAAGTGGAATAAAAATAGAAATAAGAAGGAAATATGAAAAAGGAAGACAGAACATAAAGAAGGAAAGAAAGAAGGAAAGAAGAAAGGAAAGAAGAAAGAAAGAAGGAAAGAAGAAAGGAAAGAAGAAAGAAAGAAGGAAAGAAGAAAGGAAAGAAAGAAGGAAAGAAGAAAGGAAAGAAGAAAGAAAGAAGGAAAGAAGAAAGGAAAGAAGAAAGAAAGAAAGCTTCAAGAAATTAAGGAAGAAAGATAGAATTGAGAAAAAAACAAGAAAAAATAAAAGAGCTGAAAAAAAGAAAATATGGAAGAGTTTAAGTTAGAAATACAAAAAAAAAACTGGTTAGTAAAGAAAGGACAGGGTTTCTATAGAAAAAGAAAATATATAACTAAAAGAGAAAGGAAGTATTAAAAAATGGAAACAGTTCTAAAATGAAAGAAAGTCGGGTTTGAGAGGAAAGGGGAGGCTTTCTATGAAGTAAGAAAATAGATAAATAAGATAAAAATGAAGAAGTATTTAAAAAAGGAAACAGTTGTACAATGAAAGAAAAGCAGGTTTGAGAGCAAAGGCTAAGCATTCAATGAAGAAAAAATAGATAATTATGATAGAAAAGCAGTATTTAAAAAAGGAAACATTTCTAAAATGAAAGAAAAGCGGAATTGAAAGTAAAGGTTAAGCATTCTATGAAGAAAGAAAATAGAAACACATAATAGAAAAGAAGAAGTATTTAAAGAAGGAAACAGTTCTAAAATGAAAGAAAGTCGGGTTTGAGAGGAAAGGGGAGGCTTTCTATGAAGTAAGAAAATAGATAAATAAGATAAAAATGAAGAAGTATTTAAAAAAGGAAACAGTTGTACAATGAAAGAAAAGCAGGTTTGAGAGCAAAGGCTAAGCATTCTATGAAGAAAAAAATAGATAATTATGATAGAAAAGCAGTATTTAAAAAAGGAAACATTTCTAAAATGAAAGAAAAGCGGAATTGAAAGTAAAGGTTAAGCATTCCATGAAGAAAGAAAATAGAAATATATAATAGAAAAGAAGAAGTATTTAAAGAAGGAAACAGTTCTAAAATGAAAGAAAGTCGGGTTTGAGAGGAAAGGGGAGGCTTTCTATGAAGTAAGAAAATAGATAAATAAGATAGAAAAGAAGTATTTAAAAAAGGAAATACTTCTAAAATGAAATAAAGGCGGGTTTGAGAGGAAAGGCTAGGCTTTCTATAAAGAAAAAAATATACATAATTAAGCGGTAAATAAAAAGAAAGGGAAACAAAGAAAAGTAAATTGATGGAAAAATTAAGGGACACAACAACAAAGAAAACGAAAAAAAATTCTGTAATAATAAAAGTAAAAATAAACGGGTGTGAGAGAAAAGTAGAAGATTTTTTATAACACAATCAATAGAAGGTAAAAAAAAAAATGAAAAAAATAACATGGACAGAGAGAATTTGAAGGAATATAGAAGAGAAAAATAAATAAAGTCGAACCAAAAAATATCATCCTGGAAACCAGAGATATTTATGAAGAATAAAACAAACATTTCGCTAAAGAACGCAAGTAAATAAAATAAAAAAATAAGACGAAAACCACACCTTCGACAGCATTTTTTCCAGGTATAGACATAAATCACTTGATTGATCGATGGTTTTTTACGGACTATCAACCTTCTTTTCTATCTTTTGAAGTTTATTTAATGCCAGAAAATATTTATAGATTGTAAGAATTTTGGGAGTGTAAATAATCATTTACTGATAAAAATCTATCTATTTAACCCATAGCTTGGAGGATATGTGTATTCATATCTTTCTGAAGGACATTTACACTTAAATACGGAATACGGACTAGGAAACATAAAAATACAGTTTACTAATAGCTAGAAAATATAGGAAATTGTGGAGAGCTATGATTTCCACGTCTTAAAGGGGCACGATATAGAGAAAAAAAAAAGAAAAACGGTTTTGTTTAAATGGTTGGCAGAATAGAGATTAGAAGAAACAGCAAAATAGCAAAACTTTAGTAAGAGCAACACAGAGCAGGAAAGTGTGGAGAGCCATGAAAGCCCATGTTCTAAATGGAAAATATCTGTAGAAAAGACAGAGGGAAAGCGATGTCACTTCGGTGAGGAAGTGTTTGGCTTATAGCGTTCTTTATTCTACGAAATAATTGATATTTTAGAGGTCTTTGAAACTGAAACAAAATTGACAAAAACCCGAGTTAGGATAATTTCGATAATAAGTTAGAATTTATAGTAACCAAGTATAATAGATAGAAGGCGTCAAAAATGTGTAAGATAAAAGATTCAAAGATGAAAGTCTTCTTTATTTCTTTAAGCAAACCATTTGTCAAGCTCAGAATAAAACGTTTCGTAAGAAGTTTGCCGTAGTCTCACGCACATTCAGTTCTTTCTAAACAAAGATATAAGCCATCTTATTTACTCAAGAACCAACCATCGTAAAAACCTGTGGCCTGATTCCACGCGAAAGTATACTTCTTATAAATACAATTTTCTTTTTTTTCAAACTGTTGTTAAACATTTTCCTTGTGATGTTTCTATATATACCTAGTATCTAGTATTCATATGTTTGATTGCCACCGGATTTTGGTGCTGATAAAAAAGATGTGAAGTGTAGAATTTAAATGTTTACGTTTCTCGTGGATATGATATATTGAATATCAATCAAAAACTACACTGTCGTTTTAAAGCACGTAAAATATTTTAACGCAATAATATATCGTATATACGAGTTTGTCGTTACATGGAAATTTTCATGCAGCAAGGGCGGACTATCATTGTTGTTTCGTCCAGGTGTTGTTTGATTTATTGAAATTGTCATCATTGATAATGGCTTGTGTAAGCCGAAAGCTTAAAATGGATTTAAACATGTATCAATATGGTGTTTTCCTTTCAATGATAATGTGATAAAGCTTATCAGACAATATGAAAGGAACTTAAAATAAATAGACAAAACTTGTCTATATTATTTAATGAAACATGCATTAATATATATATATATATATATATATATATATATATATATATATATATATGTGTGTGTGTGTGTGTGCGCGTATATATATATATATATATATATATATATATTTTGAACAATAAGAAAATTAAAATTTTAAAAAAAAATTAAAATCATTAGATACACTGGGTTGTAGATTAATATTCTTTCGTTTTTTATTATTATTATTCCATTTAGATTCCTCGACTAGTTTCGACCGAAATGGCCATCATCGGGAGGAGAAATATTTCTGCTTGCTGTTGGCAGGAACTACAGAAATGAATGTCTTTTGTTGGAGAAAATGAACTTTTGTCTGTAGTTTTCATTTTTTTTTTTTTTTTTATCTTTTTTCACATGAATCTTTTAACATTCCTTTGTGTTGGTCAAACAGTCTCTTTTAAGTTGTTATTTGAGATAAGAACTGGATAGATACATTTTATCCTGAATTCTCTGGTCAGTTTGACAGTTTTATTGGACCTGGCGAGGGGATGTGTCTCTGTTTAGTGTTTGTGTGTGTGTTATTTGGTTCTTAGGGAGTGAGTGAGTGAGTATGATATGTGTAAGCGTGTGTATTGCTGTAGGTGTGTGTTATCATTTGGCTCATTAGGGAGTGAGTGAGTATGGTGTGTGTATATATATATATATATATATACAGTATATCAAAAATACTTTTACAAACATTGGGCGCAGGTTCCTCACACCAAAACAAGGAGAAACGCCTATATAAACATATGTCTTTCGTTTTCCAGTTATTTAGTTTAAGGTTTACGGTAGACGCTGTTAAATGTACGATGTAAGATACAATCCAAAAATAATTTTACAAACATTGGGAGCAGGATCCTGACAAGAAAACTAGGTAAAATTTCCATATAAACATTTACCCAAAAGGCCATCGTTTTACCTCAATACAGAAACTCATAATAAATGTTCGAAATGTTCTCCGACTGCTGACACACGCATGCACCCGTCAGATCATTGACTAATGGACCCAGTAAAATACTCCCACACGGTGTCGAATGGTTTCGCCGTGTCTTATGACACGTTGATGAAACGTCTCTACGTTATTAATATCTGCTTCATAAAACAATTCTTTTAGGTCGCCCGGCAGATAAAAATCCAATGGATTGATTCAGTGGAACCTGCAGGCCATTGGTCTGGTCCTCTCCTACCTACCCAGCTTTCATTGTAGATATCAGACAGTGCATCATGAACAGTGTGACTGGAACCGCATCATCCAAGAAACACATGCGTCTTCGTATAAGCTGGGGTAGATCCTCGAGCTGAAAGTGTTTTCGGAATAAAGTCCGTGTCGGTAGCTCCTGTAAGACGTGCTGGGAGAACATATGGACTTACTAGAGAGTCACCTACAATTTCAGTCCACACTATAATCGTAAACTGATGCTGGCCTGTATTTTACATTGGGTATACCGATCCGCTCACAAATGTTAGGTGTGTAAATTTGTAATTCAATCTCTTCCAAATATTGCCTTAATCGTAAACAAGACTAAAGAGAGAAACAACGGATCGACGAAAAGTTCCCTCATGATGAGTGATCAGAAGGTAAAAGAGCTTGCGCATGATGGAAATGATACAGATAGAAGAATTTCTCTTGAAGTACCCTCCATGCGGTAAGATGAGAGCACGACATGCTAGGGCCACTTGACGTGCGTTGATAGTTGGATCGTCTCTGACAGCCTGTAGCATGTGGTCTTCGTGGTCAGGCATCTTCATCGATCCACGGTTTGTTGTTCCACGGATCCTGTCTCAGGAACGCGAAGATAAACAGCAGCAAAGGTTGGAGGAATCGGTAGCATTCGGTCTGGAAACGCAGTCTGATACAGCCGTGACGCTCCGCGTCCACTACCATTCGTATAAATCATATCTGCCTGCTCACGATATGGATATCTTGCCATTGTTAAATGGAACACTTCTCAGTTAACTCACTACTACACACATTAAACGCTGAAGACAAACTAGCCACAGATGTACACGAATGACAAATGTAACATAGTCCAAATGTCAATAGAGTGTCAACAACTATTAGGTTTTGGTGTGAGGAGCCTGCTTCCAAACTTTGTAAAAGTATTTTTGATACACCTTGGATCTCTATCTCTCTCTCTCTCTCTCTCTCTCTCTCTCTCTCTCTCTCTATATATATATATATATATATATATATATATATCGATATCTATATCTATATCTATATCTATCTATATCTCTATATCTCTCTCTCTATATATATATATATATATATATATATATATATATATATATATATATATATATATATCGTATAGTGAATCCAACTTCGTATTTTACCAAACTCTGAGGAACAAATGTATATTTATTAGTAATATAAACACATAGAAATATATTAAATATATATTAGTAATACATATTTATATACATATATCCTATTATAATTGTACTTTTCCCTCCTTTTGTCTGTTCGCCGATAGGTCATAACTAATGGAGTGTTCCATTTTGATCGTGTGAAAAGAGGTAAAAAGACATTACTTAGTTTAGTGAGAAAATAAAATAAAGAAAGATAGAAGGCAAGAGAGAAGTGTTTATCTTCTCCTAACTATACCTCATAAATAATGGACTATTTCTTTTTAATCACGTAAGAAGAAAGAAAGGAAGGAAGAAAGAAAGAAAGAAAGAAAGAAAGAAAGATAAAAGAAAAAAAAGAAAGGGAAGATAGAAGTATTTAACTTGTTTTACATATACTTCATAAATAATGAAGTACTCCGTTTTGCCCAAGTTGAAAGTGGGAAATGGGTGGGTGGTAACGACATTACTTGTTTCTAGCGAGAAAATGAAAGAAAGAAGAAAAGAAAGAGAAGATACTTGAAAACGGTTCCAGTTTACAATCTTTTCATTTGTACCCAATTCTTAAAATAATGACCAGCATTGAAGTTTATGATTGTTACTGCAATATTATGTTAAAGCAGTTAAGCTCAGATATTTAACGATGCGTAAAGGGAAATTTCTACGGATATTTTGGTCTTCTACGTGAGGAGCTCAAATTTAGACTGCCGATAGTAATTTGGTCCTAGATTAGGTAATGCCTTCTGATTTTCTATTAATTTATGACTGGATAGGTTTATATATTTATCACTGTTGTTGGGAAGTAGACTATTTCCTTGGAATAAGTTGCAGAAGGTTCCCAACGTTGCCACGTCTACGCAAGAAATGGAACTAGAATAAAAATAGCCACATCTGATCTGCCCATATTTGAGGATGGAATGCATTACTCAAGCCCAAATCACAAACTTTTATCATCTCGTCACGTGTGTATGTGCGTGTATATGTCTACTGGTAATATGTATCCAAGTACTAGATGCCGGTTTGTTTGCTTATAGGCGACTACATCAGGAATCCACTAGAGAGAAGGGTGGCTAGCTTCCCAGCAGAATGAAAAACCATACCTGACAGAGGGCGAATGAATTCTCTCAACAACCATTTAGTTTCTACAGCAGGATGTCATGTATATGAATGTTAATATATGTATGTGACATCTGATGAGAAT